CAGAGTCGCATTCCGGCAGTGAAGTCACCGGGTTCGGATGTCTTCAACCGGCTGTTATGTCACCCGCTCTGGGAGTGTCTGAGAGTAAGCAGTCACCACATTAAGGTCCTTTATGAACTGGCCTTGGAAAGTGGTTGGCCAGTTAGGACAGACAGAGGGTGAACACACGTCCGTGACCTTAACCTTCCTTTGACACGCTCTGGTGCGTACGTGCTTAGTGGACACGAGTAGCAAACATGCCCCAGAGGCGTGCATGCAAAGCATGGCTTAGAACACGAGGTCGCTACATATCTATACTCCCCGCTAGACGGCACATCCTCCACTTACATCTGACGTAACTGCAGTTCTCAAAACACGCACAGAATAGGGACCTGAGGGGTTACCAACTAACGGAATAATTCAATTTTTTTCTGGACTGAGGATGGGACTGCAATATTTCCCTTTCATTGCAGTCTTTTTGGATATTATTGCCCCTTCGAGATTTTAGACGTCTCGGTAGATCTAGCCTAGTACCTGTGGAGTACGTACCAAATCGTATGTAGCATGCTCCCATGGGGTTTTGGCTCTGTGAGCCACTATGTCTACGCCAACCGCTGATATTCTCGATTTTTCCTTGTCATCAGAATATGGTAAATGCGGGAGGATAGAGGTAGGTGTACAGAATATAGGTCTGATTCACATCATCCAAATTCACGCGCAGTATGCGAGTTCTATTTGACTGCTGGTAACTTATGGGATATCCTTTCTCAACGTTTGCATGAGACCTTAAGCGTGTGAAATTATAAAGCATGGCATTCACAAATGCCACTTATACGATAAAATATGAAATTACCAATACAAGTATCCCGACGGTCAAAAACTTAGGTGGTTTCATAAAATCCTGAAACAAACAGATATTGCGTAATAGCGGTCAGTGGGTTAATGGGTATTATCTTTTCGTCTCTTTGGGAGGAAACAGATGCGTCAGAAACTCTTTTGGGATAGTCGAATACTCGTAGTATGCACATCGACGGAAAAATGACTGTGTCGAGTACGAGAGACGCCCTAAGCAGCAAAAGTTCCGAAGATATTTACGGGTAGTAGTAATGAGTAGGCGGGATGATTATCCACATACAACCGCAAACTCGATGCCCTCGAAACGTGATGAAACCAAGGGAGCCTGCGTCCAAATGCGGGTGGATTGATTTTTAGTTCTGGATAAACCTAAGTACCCAGGCGACTGAGTTCGTAGGGGAGGATTGCTCTTGGGTGTTAGATATCCCCCGATTGTCGGCTGGGTGAGTTCGAGGAGGGAACAGTTCTCTCCGGAGTTCTGAGTCTCGGATGGAAACCTGATAATTCAGCAGTTCGTCCGCTCTTTCCTAATCTCTTAGGCCCCTTTCGTGAGAGCGTAAACTAAGGAGAGCGGATTCGAAATGACATGAAGGTCACGACCGCAAGGAAGTAGTTTGGTAATCCATAGAATTTGTGAAGATGAGAAGCATAAGCGATTACCACCAGCGTAGGAACAAGCACCATGGGTTGGCGTAACTATCGATCTGGACAGCCACCAGCCATCATGGTTTCGCTAGCTGAAAAGGCATTTTTAAAACGTGTTGGATAGGCGATCTGCGTTTTTTAAATGATCTTCATTTCTCAAGGACGCCCGTTGTCACGGGGCTGTAAGACAGCGTGAACTCGGCCTTATCGCGAATACTACCCTCGGCCACTTCCTCTGAGCTTGACCACAAAAACCCCTTATCTGTTTTTGCCTCCTGGAAGTATCTGGTGATGGTCTCCTGTACGAGGCTGAAGGTTCGAAAGAAAACATGCACTGATCGCGCGTTTATTTACTTTGCAATAAATCTATCTGCTCGAAGCATTCATTCGTGAACACATCTGTGCCAACAGTTTCTCAACAGTCCAGTCGGGACGGTCCTATGCTAACTACCGTGTCAGGCACCAATTCAGTCATTTTATGGGACGCAGCGTGGACCTGCGCCCCGCTTTGCAGTTCAGAAGTAGTGTAGTGACCTCCCATGCACGCTTCGCATGAGGTCACGTGACTGCAAGACTCGACCTACTCCTATCGACCCGCTGGCACGCGCACACCGTAGGCCTCTCCTGGTTTGGCCAATCACTTTCAAGGCTGACTAAGACAAAGACAGCTTTCGGCGACTGACTGCGATGACTGCCTACGCCCTACCACTCCGCACCCGACCCACTAGCGAACGGACTGCACTCGTCCGAGAATGAACTGTCCTCATACCTATCGCCACTCCTTCTGTACAGAATAGACTGTTCCTACCACTCTGGCCTCCCATGGCTTTTCTTCCCTTAAAGAACTGGGTCTGAAGATCGTAGTCACAAGGGTGAACCTAGCCGACCTTAACTTCTCAATAGAGCTACTCCTTCCGATTACGTGGAAGGGCACCTTTTGGCCTGTAATTTCGAATGTGAATTTCAAGGAGCAGAAGTTGTCAGAATACCTTATTTGAGTATTTTTAACTTAATCTTTCGCCGGCAAATTTCAGTAACAGATTAAGAGCAAGATAAGAACAAGTACTAGCAACTTATATATTGGCCCGCGATTAATCAATCAAGTCCGCACGCACTCCGGTCTGGTCTGGCCAATAACCTCTACCGGTTTGGTCAATCACTTTCAAGGCTGACTACGACAAAGACAGCTTTCGGTGACTGACTGCGATGACTGCCCACGCTCTAACACTCCGGACACGACCCACTAGGATACGCACTGCTTTCGTCCGAGAGTCAAATCTCCTACTGCCTATTCTACATTCCTTCCGTACAGAATAAAGTTTTCCTACCATGCCGGCTTTCCTATGACTTCTCTGCTCCTAAGGAACCGGGCCTGAGGATCGTAGTGACAAGGGTTAACCCTATTAACTTTAACACTCCTCGATAATAGTACTCTTGCGGGCGGTCACGATATGCCAAAGTGGTTAATTATCGATTACTGCTGCAGGGGCCAACTCATTGGTTGCCTAGTTTAAACTGTAAAAAAATGTGAATTATGAAGTCAAACCTAGAGGTGGCGCAATTCCAACGGGACCAAAACTCCCTTGTCCACCGGCGTGGCCTGATTATGCGGGCGCAAGAAAGGCGTCCACCTTCGTCTAGGGCAGTGTGCGTTCAGTGCGTTTCAGTTGCCCGTGCTTTATCGAAGGGGCAGTGCCGTGTGGCACACAAAAATTGCTACAGGCGCGGCTTGTTGCCGAAAAAAACAAAAAAAACACGCTGCGAGCGACGGAGTTCACACGAATTTCGAAATGGAACAAATGACCTCGCAGTCAACGGCTAATTGCCGGGCTTGGCTTGAACTTTCCGACAAGGGTGCCTTGGAGTAAGGTCGCGTGACGACAAAGGACAGGTGGCGC